AGAATGAAGTGAACCTCCCAGCACAGGATTAGGGTAGACAAGATCGGAGTGACCTTGCAGAGCGCACCTGGAGGCTGTGCTAGGGCTCTGATCTCAGTCCTCAGTCCTGAGAGCTGTCTGGGCAGCAGAGGCATTTTTCAAGGACCCTCACAGGGATGCTGCTGGGCCTCCCCTAACATACCTTGGCCACCTTAATCCAGTGCTCCACCACTTTGGCCCTGTCCTGGGCCATCATGCTTGGGTCCCCAAGGCAGGTGGTGATCACACAAGTAGCCACGTGGTTGAATTGTAAGATAGTGGCACTGACATTGGATACCATGTGCCCCTTTCTAGGCTCAGTCCTCTGTGACCAGACAGAGCCCAGGCACTGGTGCGGTAGCACCTTCTTGAATATCTCCTGAGAAGAAAGGGGAGTGTCACCCAGCCCTGCCACACCCCAGTTCAGGGTTCCCAGTCCCTGAAACAGACACTAGTCAAGACTGAAGCTCAGGAAGCTGAGGATTTGCCTGAGCCTTGGATTCCATGGGACTTGTTCTCTGTCTACCCAGGGCACCCTGCACTGGATGACCCGGGTCCCAAGAGGGTGGGGGAAGGGTCAGGAGTATCTGCCTCTAGCCCATCCTCAGGGACTCCAAGCTCCAGGAGGAGGCTTATGTCTACTCACCCCAAAAGGGTATCTTCCAGTATCTGACAGCCCTCTGGAATAATTCCCCATTCAGTGTACATTCCCTTGTGACAGCTACGACCACAGCTGTTTGTCTCACTTAAACACACATCAGTGGTCACAAAAGTGCTGAGGCTGCTGAACCTTTGGACTTAATAGATGGGGGACCCATGGATCTGGCTGCACACAGAGAGCTCCCCTCCCCACAATTGATTTATCTATTTATTTCTTGGATATTCCTGACTTGTTCATGATCTTAAAGGACAAGTGTTCACTATTCCACCATTAAGGATGATGATGCTAGCTTTAGTTTTCTCTTGTTGTCTTTTACCAATTTGAGGCATTCTCTTCTGTTTTTAGCTTTAGAGAATTCTTTTAAAATCATGGGTAGGTTTTGAAATTTGTCAAATACTTTTTCTATATCTACTGATAGAGAAAGTTCCCGGGAGCGGAGCGGTCTAGCTTGGAAGGCCGGTGGGTCAGGGCAGCTCCCTGCATTCAGGCCCAGCACTCGCCGCCAGCGCCGGGGCCACCGCACTGCCCAGGCCCCGCGGCGGCCGGCCGGACCGCAGCCTCAGCTCCGGCCGTGCCGCAGGGGCCGCGGGGAGCCGCGAGGCCGCCGCGCTGGGACGTCCCGGCCTCAGAGCGGGCCGCGCCTGTCTTCGGGGAACCGGCCTGAGTGGCCCCTCCAGGTGACATCACGCGGTGACGCCATCAGGGGGCGCCGCCACCCAGCCTGCCACTGCGCGGGGCGGGGAGACTGCGAGGAGGCCGAGTCCCGTAACCCGCCACCCAGGGGGCCGGAGCCCTCAGCAACCCGCACCCCGAGGCCGTGGAATGCTGCTGACTTTTTATTCTAGGTTTGGACGCGGCCATCCTGAATTCTGTGAGGATGGGGACTCTGTTCTACAGCAAGCCTCTGAGCGAATAAATATGATCCCCATTTTACATCTACTCTCGGACTGTAGTGACATTTCCCCAAGTGGGACTGGATCCATTCCCACGCTCCACTACGCTGAATAAGAGAGGATCCAAGCTCACCTTTCACATGCGGAGCCGCTAGGCTTCTTCACACCACCAACCATGCTTCTTCATACCACACACAATGAGTCCACAGGCCCAACAGCACATGCTGTTTTGTACTTTTTTTCCTTCAGGTTTAATTTAAAAAGACAAGCGCCCACCTCAGCTTTCACATTGAACACATCCCCAAATTAGGATTCAGCACATGACCAGCACCCAGCAGTCTCTCCTATATTTACTACTCCATCCATCCCCCTCACACCAAAAGTAAACAAGGCCCTAATTGCTAACAAAACCTGGCTTTGCCTTTTGAACTGTGAGATGGGATCGTGCAGTGTGTCCTGGCCGAGTATCGAGTTTTCCCCTCAACATGTGCGTGAGATGCACCTGTATCGCTGTGTGGTTGTAGTTTGTGATGTACTAAGACCCATTCCTTGTGCTGCTGCTGGACAGTGGGTAGTGTCTAAGTTAGGGCTACTACAACCTAGCGCTACTGTTTACATATGTAATAGTGGGAACACATGTGCTCAATGCTGGGCCACAGGGCATGCTGTTTGTTCAGGTTTAGTAGATACTGCCTGTTCTCCAAAACTTGTCCTGATTTATCCTCTACCAGCAGGGTATGGGTTTTTGCTCATATCCTGGTCAACAGTTGGTACCATCTGTTTTTTGTAGCTAATATCATTATTTTAAATTAATTTCCCCATCATGGCTCATAATACTTAAGTTCACTTGAATAGCAGGACATAAGTATTTCCATTAAAAGTACTTTTAATCAATGATAAAGTGGTAAATGCTATATTTTAAAATGGGTTACTAAATCACTACTTCTAAGTGATCTTATAAGAGGTAAGCAAAAAGAAAAAAATGACAACCCATTTATGAAATCCTTATTTATTTTAAATATGTCTATAAATTAGGAAATTTCCTGTATCTGATTTATAGGGATGTGCTTATTTTTTTTTAACATATATTTTTTATTGATTTCAGAGAGAGAAGGAGAGGGGGGAGAGAGATTGAAACATCAGAAAATCACTGATTGGCTGCCTCTTGCATGTGCCACACGGGATGAACTGGCAGCCGGGCATGTCCTGATAGGGAAATCAAACCATCACCTCCAGGTTCATAGGTTGACATTCAATCACTGAACCATGCCAACTGGGCAAAGGATGTGCTTATTTTAAATGGAAATGAATATAATTTAAGTCTATGTTGAAGAAAAAATACCCCCCTACATAAATGTGTAACTATGAACAGTGATTTTTAAAAAGTTTATGACACTTGTTCACCTCAGGTAGAATGACTTCAATTATACATATTTTTGTTCCATATTCAGAGTTACAAGCATTTATTCCTGAGTCCTGGAACAGCATCATTATCAAAATTGCAGGTAAGGGGTGGGGGGTTGCTGAAACATGTATTTCCGTGAGTGAACAGTTTGTTATTTCTAAGGTACATGACTGGCATCATAACCTCTCTCAACCTTTTCATTGCCAATTTTTGCTACCATGGAAAAAGTCACATCTCCATGAGATAATATTTTTAGGGGGAAACCAACACACATTTATGTAGGGCCAGGGGTAGGTAGCTAGAGAAGAAATAGTGACAGAACTGGGGACACAGAGCCACAGTGTGAAGAGGCAGTAAGCAGAAAATGAGAGAACGATTAGGAGTGGCATAGGGTGGGTGAAACTACATAAGCACCTAGACAGGACCAGGGAGGTGAGCAGCCTATGCCCAGAGGGGCAGGGATGACAGAACATTGAGGTGAGACAGGAGAGGGAGATGAGTGGGTCAGGGTTCCACCTAAGTAATGGGGAACGCCAACAGTCAGGGGGCACCATGTGCCTTAAGAAACCTGCCTTGTCTCCAAGAGCCTCAGCTCCGGAGCCTCTTGGTAACTTGGAATGAACAATGGTGACTAGGATATTTCAGCAAACTGCAGCCCAGATGGGACAGAGCTCTCAGCACCTGCACGCCAGTCCTTGAGGACTGCATTCACAGAATGAACATAAGGTTGGAACTAACAAAGCATAATGGCTCCAAGGAAATAGATAAAAATAAAGCTTTCTGTGGAAACAACTTTTCTGAATTTTTCTGTGTTAACATGGGGCTGCTATTAAATTGGCTAAGACAAAAAATTAATCTTTACAGGAACAAGCAAGAGGAGTGTTCTAGAAAATACCTTAATAACCAGGGACATGTCCTTCACTCTTGATTTTTACATATAGTTTGGATTTATCACTAAGCTCTATCCAAGAGGGTTTCTCCTTCACATGCACATTCCATATGCTCCTGAAAGTGCAAATGTCTTATATACATCACTCTTAACCTCAGTTATTTTTACAGCCTTTTCCTTTCCTGATCAGGTTCCGTAAAAAAAAAAAAAAAAAAAGACTCATAAACATAACCAACCCAACTCTGCTTTGCAGTTGTGCCACGGAAACTAGCATGGATTCCTTAAGAAACAAGGTATCTGCTTAAAAATGCTAATATATCAGGTTTGAACATGCAGATCTCTTGATGCAGTGAAATGTATGGCAGGCAAAATATCCCTCGTCCTTTTAATAAAAGTTTCAAAGATGTTTAACATTTTATTTTAAAAATAAGATTGATTCATAAAGTGTAAGAAGTGATTTCTATCCATCTTCGACAAGCTGTTGGGAACAGAGAGAAGGAAAAAAAAAAAGAGAGAAATAATCATTAACTTCAAATTATCCTAAAGTTAAACTATGAACTACAAGCTCTGGTGTTAACGGTAAGAAAACGGACACCCTGAGCGCCTGCACAGCTCGGATGAAAAAGCCAAGACTGGGTGCAAGCCTCCTGACTCAGGCCCTCTCCCTCTCCATTCGGCCAGGCTGCCAGTAACCCAAGGACCCCGGCTGGAGAGTACAAAACACAGCGCAAGGACGATGGTGCTAACAAGGACATTGCTGCAAAGACTGAGGAGCGGGGAAAGGGTGGCAGGGACATCTCGGTCCACTCTTTTTTTCCTTTCGCTTTGCCCAGTATTTACATTTTAAGCTGAATGCAGCGACACTGCACGTGGTAAGGAATCCGCAGTAAACACATGCCATGAACTAAGACACCGGTGCACGTTACTGGGGGAAAGCAAAGCTCCCTCCTCTTCTGGGTGTCCGCGGGAGCAGGCCGCCTCCTGTGAGCTGCCTCGGACACCCGCCCCGCTCCCAAGTCTCCCTCGGACCCGGGGCCTCTGTAAGCACTGCTCACCGGCACTGCGGGGAGCCTGGCTCAGGCGGGAGGCCCCGCGCGGGCAAGGCGAGGAGGGCGCGCGGCGAGGCGGGCGCGCTCAGGCCAGGTCCAGTTTCTTCTGCATCACCGCCAGCTGGTCCTGCAGCCTCCGCTTCCTCCAGTCCAGGTAGCGCCTCCGCAGCCGGTTCGCCTGCCAGCCCACGAGCACCCCGGAGGCGAAGGCCAGCAGCACGGACAGCTGCAGCTTCCTCTCGGACACGTCCGCCATCGCGGCCGCCGGCGCGCGGAAGGGCCTACGGCGCGCGGCGGGGCCCAAGGCGCGCGCTCCTGGGGGCGGAGGAGGAGAGCCCGGCGCCCCCTGCTGCGCGGTGACGGACCTGCAGCGCCTGTGCCGGGAGGGAGCGCGGACCGAATCTGTGACTTGGGACCTCCTGTGATCACTTTATGTTACACAAAACTCCTTGCCAGACTGCAGACTCTCCTGGGGCTGGATGAGGTAAGCAGGCATGCTGGAGAAGCTCAAATAGCAAAGCACCAATGAGGGCTCAGGGAAGGGCGGCAGCCCTAGCCAAAAGCTGGAGCCTCTGTCCTACAACCCATTGCCTACTAGTAAGCTGGGAAGCAGATTCTTCCCCAGCCCAGCCTCCAGGTGCGGGGGTCTAGCCTGGATTCTTCCCAGGAGCCTTGTGAGACCCTAATGGAGGATCTCGTGCCTGGACCCCTGACCCCTGAGTGTTCTGATAATCTGTTACACATGTTAACGAAAAAACATTCTTTACAGGTAAAGAATTTTTTTGTGAGTTTATTTGAGCCAAAATTGTCGACACGTGCCGGGAAGCAGAACCTCAACGGACTGAGATAATGCTCCGGAGAATGGCGGGTTACATTTCTATATTTATACATTGCAATCAAAGGAAAGGAACGTAGGTGAGTTACATGAAATTCATTGGCGATAGATTAAGGAGGTGGGACAAAGCGAAGCGGGGGGGGGGGGGGGGGACCTCTGGGATAGGGTAAAAGGTTAAATGATGGACATGAGCTTCTTTCACAGAGATGGATACTCTAACATAATTAACAGTTGACAATTAACTTGATAACAATAACAATGAGGAATGTCTTGAGGCCATTTGTTGTGCCCTGAGAGGGGTCCGGAGTAAAAGGAAGTTACAAGTTACCCAGACATCTCGCAGTTATGTTATCTTAGATGCAGGAAGGCAGAGGGGCTCAGTAAAAGATCAAAGTTGATCTTTGTCAGGTGAAATCTCTGGGACATGACTACCTACTATAACCTGTTAGATATTTAATTTTCAAACCATCTCTTGTGGTTATCTTAGGTCTCTGGGATTGCAAGACTGCCACACAGGCCTTCCCTGAGCTTGTCAGGTTAGCTTGTGGCTCTTTTCTTTCACACACAGCAATAGAAAACGAATCCAGGGTGGGAGAGGATGAAAAGGGTAAAGGGGTCAAATATATGGTGATGTAGGTGTGTTACGCCCAGACTTCGTGATCCCCAAGGACCACCAGGGAGCCAAGTCCGATGCAATAAACAAAAGAGCCTCATCCATGCTAGCATAGGCTCCTCCCACTCACGCCGGCAGCATGGCGGAAGAGAGCGAATTTCTTCCAGTCCAGGGGTTTTACTCCGGTGGATGGTGATGTCACTGCCTCGGCTAACCCTGATTGGTTGGGTGAGGGCTAGGGATAACTCTGCCCTGTGGGGCGGAGTCGGGAGCTCATCCTCGCCCCGCCCTGCCCTCTCAGGTGAACTAGACTACAGGTGGTGAGCACACAATGCAATAGACAGATGATGTATTACAGAACTGCATACTTGTGTGAAAGAAAAAAGCCACATGCTAACCTGACAAGCTCAGGGAAGGCCTGCATGGCAGTCTTGCAAACCCAGAGACCTAAGATAACCACAAAAGATGGTTTGAAAATTAAATATCTAACAGGTTATAGTAGGTAGTCATGTCCCAGATATTCTCCCAAAGATCAACTTTGATCTTTTTACTGAGCCCGTTTGCCTTTTTGCCTCTAAGATAACATATCTGTGAGATGTCTGGGTAACTTGTAACTTCCCTTTTTCCGGAGCCCCTGGGGAACAACCAGGGTAGATGCCTCAAATTCCTTCTTTATCCTGTTAATTGTTCCTGCACTTACCTGAGTACACGTCATCATTTTACTTTTTATCCAATCCCAGGAGTTTCCCACCGCTTTGCTTTCTCCCGCCTCCTTACTCCATCACCAATGAATTTCATGTAACCCACCTATGTCCCTCCTTTGATTTCAGTGTATAAATAGAGAAATGTAACCCACCATTCTTCGGAGCATTATCTCAATCCGTTGAGGTTCTGCTTTCCGGCAATTGTCGACAGTAAGGCTCAAATAAACTCTTTAAGAAACCTATATAATGTCAGTGTGGACAAAAAAAAAGGAGCCACACACCAAACCTGACAAGATCAACAGAGGCCTGCATGGTGGGTCTTACAGAGTCAGAGACCAAAAAGTAACCATATATAATGGTCTAACCTTAAAAATCCCTAATGAAAATAAGTCGTGGGGATTAGTCTCGTTCTAGACCTGTAGCTTCCCAGACAAAAGTCAAACTTTACATGAAGCAAGCCTGCCTATTGTCTTTTGCATCTAAGATACCTTTGGAATATCAGAGAAACTCCCTTTTTTCAGACCCCTCAAGGGACAGCCGTCTATCTGAGCACAGGCCACAGAACCCTACATTGTTATCTGCTCTTTGCACACTATCTGTGCTGTAAATGTTACCTGTCCTGCACCCTCCAATGTAAAAAAGAAAAGTTTACCCCTAGCCGATTTGGCTCAGTGGGTAGAGCACTGGCCTGCAGACTGAAGGGTCCCAGGTTTGATTCCAGTCAGGGGCACATTCCTGGGTTGATCCCTGGTTGAGGGTGTGCAGAAGGCAGCAGATCAGTAATTCTCTCATCATTGATGTTTCAGTCTCTCTCTCTCCCTTTCCCTTCCTCTCTGAAATCAATAAAAATATTTTTAAATAAGAAAAATATTTTTAAATAAGAAAAGCTCATTATCCAATCTGAGAGTTTTCTGCTGCCTCCCTAATCTACACCAGTGAATTTCATGTAACACCCCTCTTACACTTCCTTCTTTGATTTGTATAAAATAAACTGCAAAACTGCCACTCTTTGGAGCATTTTTCAATCCCTTGAGATTTTGCTTCCCAGCAATTGTCATCAGTTTGGCTCTGCAGACAGAAAGAAGCCACATGCTAACCTGACTAACTCAGGGAAGACTGCATGGTGGTGGCCTTGCAAACTCTAGAGACCTAAAGTAACCACAAGGGAGGGCCTGAAATTAAAACTTTTCAACTAACAGCAGTTTATGGCAGGTAATCATGTCCTAGGCTAGATTCTTCCCTGACAAAAGTCAATCTTTACCTTAACTAAGCCTGTCTTCTCCTGCATCTATGATAATATATCATTGGAATCTCTGGGTAACTTGTAACTTCCCTTTTTCCGGACTCCTAAGAACAACCACTGCACCAGGGCTCTGGGATGAAGACAGCAGATTCCCTCACTGTTACTATTACCTTGTCATTGTTGACTATTAACTATCCTGTATGTCTATCATTTTACTTTTTATCCAGTCCCAGAGTCCCCATCCCCTTTGCTTCTTTTTCCCCCCCTAATCTATCACCAATTGATTTCATGTAACCCTCCTTTGATTCTAATGTATAAAAAAAATAGGAAAAATTGTCATTCTCCAGAGCACTCTCTCAATACATTGAGATTCTGCTTCCTGGCAATTGTTGACAGTTTGGCTCAAATAAACTCACAAAATTCTTTACAGGTTTGAATGTTTTCTTATGTTAACAACTCAAATAAAGTCATAAAAATTATTTACAGGTTTGAAAGTTCTTACATTGAGATTATTAACCAACTAGAAACCTGGTGCACAAAATTTGTGCTCGGGGGTGTGTCTCTCAGCCCAGTGTGCACCCTCTCCAATCTGGGACATCCCTCTCATAATTCATGACTGCTGGCTCCCACCTGCTTGCCTGCCTGCCTGCCTTCCTGATTGGCCCTAACCACTTCTGCCTGCCAGCCTGATCACCCTCTAACCACTCCCCTGCCAGCCTAATGCCTAACTGCTCCCTGCCAGTCTCTTTTCCTCTGCCAGCCTGGTCACCCCTAATTGCCCTCCCCTGCAGGCCTGGGTCCCCTCCAACTGCCCTCCCTTGAAGGCCCTGTCACACATTCATATACACCCACTCACAACCATTTATACATATGGACATTCACAGTCACACACACATTCCTTCATATATACTTATGCACATGTTTACATTTTCAGTCACACACACAGACACAATCAAACACATTGACACACATAGGCACATACACACTTTCAGAGTCGTTTACACACATATTCAGTCACATACACTTAGTCACACACAAACACACACACACACACACACACACACACACACACACACACGCCCGCGCGCACACAGGAATGAGAGAGAAAAATGGGGAGGTCTCTGCCTCTCCAGGAGCTCAGAATTGTAAGGTTCCAGGGGCAGGAAACGGGAGTACGAGACCACAACCTGTTAAAGGAGGAAGTTTATTCAGCACTAATGAGTGTGATTCATTATGGAGGAGGTAGAGGAACCAGGATTAGAGAAGGGGGAGAAGAAAAAGGGACCCAACCTGGCAGACTTGCGGACTGAGACTTGGAGAGAGAACAGTCTGGGAGAACAGCAGCATATGGAGTGGAGATGCCTTTTGAGGGGGAGGGACAAGAAGGGGTTGGCCCTAGGGCACTCGCTGATTGATAACTGGTAACTGCTTTGGGCTTTTTCCTGCCCACACCCACCTGTTCAGCTGCCACTGAAGAGGAATTTGGGCTCTTCAATCACCTGGATGGAAGGTGCAGAGACCACAAGGGGCTTGTCCTGGCTGCTTTGGTGTTAGTTCCAGGAAGCACACTGTGCAGGTTGGCCTTGGCTCCCCACCTGCTACACTGACAGCAGAGGCATCTCCCCTCCTGTCCTCTTGGTCATTTCGTGCTCTGCCCTTGAGAATCCTGGCTACTGGTCACCATGTGGTCCTTGGGCTATGCTGGTGTTCACAAGTGTGTGGACTGACTGGGTGAATAAAACAACTATACTGATTTTTGAGAAAGAAAAATGGGGAGTGAAAGATCAATTTGTTATTAATCTAATTTTATACATTATTTGGTTGATTTTTGCATGTGCCCTGACTAGAGAAAACCTGCAATTTTGGCATTATTGAGATGATGCTGTGACCACCTGAACTATCAAGACAGGACCAGACATTTTGTGGATTTTAAGTTAAATAAGGATAGATAGAAAAAAGAACCACCAGATAATGGCAGATAATGAAAGGAGGCTAGAATAAGATTCATGGAGTTTCATAAATGTTTTCTCTATAAAGATAAAGAGTGTCACCCTATGAACCACGAGATCATGGCTTGATTCCCGGTCATGGTACATAGCAGGCTGCAAGCTCTCTGAACATTAATGTTTCTATCCCTCTCTCCTTTACCCTCTCTGAAATAAAAAAAATATATATTTTAAAAATCAAGAAAACAGACCTCATGTAAAAAAAAAATATATATATATATATGTCCCACCCCGTTTAAGAGTGACAGATAAGTTTATTTTACATGTGATGTTTCACACCTTAATATCTGTGTCAAGGCTCACCAAATAGTATTCATTAAAAAAGTGCAGTTTGTTGCATGTCAGTTCTCATTTTCTGTGAGGAACAGCCTTGCCTCAGTGGCAGCAAATATTGACAAGCAGTGAAGACTGTTGCTTTCAGAATCAACAGGAATGCTGACTGGTCACAAAAGATACATCCCAGGACTTATTACAGGAATACCTTTTTTCTTGCTTTGAGTTCTTGCCTGTTGAGAAAACCTTGAGGTGAACACCCTACAGAGGCCAGGGGAATCTACAAAACCGTTGGATCATTTTCTCTGTCAATGACTTCAGCTACAGGAAAGTTATGGAGGTCCTGAGAATGTCTTTACACAAAGATCACACAAGCCACAGGCCCTGGAACATTTGTGGATTTGCATTCAGAAGAGGCATTTTTCATCTACTTTAGTACAGTCTCTCCCATCACTATGAAAATAGAGTTTCTGTATCAATATTAGTTTCATTTCAGAGTCTTACAACAAATGACACCAGCCTATGAAATTTCCTACACGGCTCCTTTGCAGTACGTGGATGACTTCCCCTTATGTAATACATACCGTGCACAGATAATATGATTCACACTGTTCACAGAAGCACAGCAAAGGCCTTCCCACTGACCTCCCAAATAATTGAGGTACCAGACTGCAACTTAGAACCACAAAGTCATGCAGTCTTTCTTTCAAGGCCATGGGCAGCAATGCAGAATAAGCTAATATTGGACCAGGTGATTTTTTGCCATCATGTTGTGCCTTCCAAAGGACAGAAAATTTGGGATCCCCATATCTGTTCACCTTTACATGCTCTGTGTTTACAATTGTACTTTCAAATCATCCCAGGGAGTGTACAGAACCATAAAATTTAAGTTACAAAAGGAAAAAACATCTTTGTGAAAGGATCGTAAACCAGACCAGTATACAGCAAGCAGTTTGCAAGCTGGTGAATTAGAACCTGAAACAATTCATCACAGCATGATGTGAGAACCACAATGTCCCTGATGATGGGTATTCTGGATGAACTCTGGGTCTGGTCAATTCCCTAGTCAGAGAATGGAATGGAAATCCTGCCAAGAAATAGAAGTTTTCAATAATTTCATCAAGTAGAAGTGATAAGACATAATTGATTTTCCCTGAGCAAACAGGGGTTTTCACTGATGCACACCGCTCAAGTGAGCCAGGTGGTAGAAGTGAAATCACTTCAGCCACAAGTACTCACAGTGATATCAATTGGGTAGTAGGCCTGGGCAGGTTAGCAAGTGCAATGCAGCTCCTTAAAGCCTCACTTATACCTAAAAATTATGAGGAACTTAGCAGAGAGTTTTTTCCATTAAAAGAGATTTATATTTTAGTAAATGGGTGTCAAAGAGTCTCTTTCAATACTGCTATTCTGAGTGACAATAATAAAACACTCCTTGCACATTTAAGGACTTTCTCCAGAATGAGCTCTCAGGTGTCTAAGTATGCTAGGTTTGTGGCTAAAAGATTTCCCACATTCACTACACTCATAGGGCTTTTCTCTAGTGTGAACTCTGCAGTGTTTAATGAGGTGAGACCTTTGATTGAAGGACTTCCTACAGTCACTACACTCATAGGGCTTTTCTCCAGTGTGAACTCTGAGGTGTTTAGTGAGGGTAGATCTTTGACGGAAGGACTTTCCACAGTCACTACACACATAGGGCTTTTCTCCAGTGTGAACTCTGTGGTGTTTAGTGAGGGTAGATCTTTGACGAAAGGACTTTCCACAGGCATTACACTCATAGGGTTTTTCTCCAGTGTGAACTCTGCAGTGTTTAATAAGGTGAGACCTTTCACGAAACGCCTTTCCACAGTAAGTACACTCATAGGGCTTTTCCCCAGTGTGAACTTTGTAGTGTTTAATGAGGTGAGACTTTTCACGGAAGGCCTTTCCACAGTAAGTACACTCATAAGACTTTTCTCCAGTGTGAACTCTTTTGTGTTGACTGAGCGTAGAACTTTGGCTGAAGATCTTTCCACAGTCACTACACTCATATGGCTTTTCTCCAGTGTGAACTCTTTGGTGCTGAATGAGATTAGACTTATTTCTGAAGAACTTCCAACATTCACTACACTCATAGGGCTTTTGTCCATTGTGAACCCCTTTATGTTGAATGAGATTAAACATTTGTCTAAAACCTTGCCCACATTTGTTACACTCATAATTCACTTCTCCAGAGCAGACACCCAGATGCTGAACAACCTTCTGGTAGATGTTAGCAGCTTTTTCACATTCAACACACTGATGACGATTTTTTCCACCAAGAAATTCAAGGGAAATCTCACTGCTACTGTGTGGCTCCTCAGTGCTAACAGTGGCCTGGTGTTGGAGAATATCTGAGATGGCTGGCAAGTCTTTGCCAACCTCCGTACTAGCTGAAGGCACCCATGTTAAATAGAAGCTGCACCTGGACACAAATGAGGCCCTGTCCATATCTTCTTCCCACGCCTTCTCTCCACTGGCATCTCTCTGCTGCTGATGACAGTTTGCACTGGAAAATAAGTCTTTCACAGATGTGTCACTGAAGAAGGCTTTCTGCTCACAGTATGCTGCTTGTGACTCAGTCAGGTGCAAAATATGTTTTAAAACTGAGAAACACCACTTACATAGCCAGGTCTTCTGGGCAGCTGGAGCTGTCTTAGAAAACCTGACCTGTGGCTCTTCTCTTACAGATACACTCTGCTCAGGGGGCATCTTCTCCTCATCCATTTTATGCCAACAACCTGAAAACAAAGAAATGGTGATGAACTGAATGTTGACTGTAGTGACAGGGGGAAGTAACATTCCAAAAGTGTTACACATAACATGTTGATTCCATGCAATTGTCTAAAAATAAAAGACACACTGGAAGGATTAATAAGAAGCTGCTGTGAAGCTCTGGGCCTCTGAATATCACAAAACAGAAGATCTCATGTGAAATGTGATGCCAGGATGGAAAGTACCACATGGAAGAGAAGCAGAATCTCCAGTTCATTCTTTTGCTAACAGTGCTCAGTATGGCTTGTCAGCTGGTTATATGGGCAAGTTGTGTAGGAGGTTGATTATGTCTCATTTCATGTAAAATTCTGCAAATGTGTAACCGGTGTTCAAGGACCACTAAAGCATGTATGTGCACCTCAGAACACATCTGCAGGTCAATGTCTGAGAATACTGCAGGAAGAGCAGTACAGAGGATCAATGATGCAAAAATACCACAAAGATGCAGTTAGTGAAAGCCAGTAAGCCATATTTGAAATGACAAGTCAGCAAAATGTCAAGTACGGCACACAAAAAAGGTAGAAATGAGGTATTTCCAATGGCACTTTCACCTAAAGACTGCTGGAAATGAGCAGGTTCCCGATTATCATCTGTACACAGCCCTTATGTCATACCTTCCCCCAACTGGCATTCAACAGAACCAGGCTCCTCTGAGATTGATGCAGGTTCACCCTGTGGAACAAATCAGGGTTCTCCCTGTACCTTCTATTGTACAAGTTCATAAAAGGTAAATACTCTGAGTATTAACGAAAGACAACAGAGGTGAGCAGCCTGCACTGGCCCAGAGCTATTCGGTTTACCAACAGTATTCAGGAAAGGGAATAATACAAACAAAAATTGAAAGAGGGTCTTATAAGAACAGCCATGTTCATGTAAGCGAAAAACATAATTAGGCACAGTCACAAAGAAATTTTAGCTAGAGGAAAGAGGTAGAAATGGAAGCCATGGATCTAGACATAGTCACCCTCTCAGAGAGAAGAAGAACATGTGGAAACCTTTAAGCTGCCTCTAAGACTACTGACTCCCCGGCTCTTCCTCCACTTTCTGAAGAAATTTGTGTTAGGAATGTTCAGAGTCCATTGCTCAGGGCTCTCCACACAGCTCAGTGCACTCATCCAGAGCACATTTGACAAACAGTGGGGGAAATTAGCAGAACTCATGGTCTGGCTGTGGAAGAGAGAAAACTACAAGGAGAATAAAGGAAGAGAGGACAACTCTTTAGGACACTAGGAGAGATGTGAAGGTCTTACCTACTGATGATAGAAGTGCAAAAACTTCCAGCATCTCTTCGCAGTACAGAAGTCTCTGATCCTCATCAAGAAACCTCCATTCCTCCTGAGAGAAGGCAATGGCCAAATCCTCAAAGTTCATATCCTGTTAATGGGGTCAGTTCAGTCCATGATTAGCATCTCTCCTAGGATTTTACATTTGTCATACTCATCTGTCTGCTCCCTCTACTCCCCCATCAAAGAAGACACCAGGCCTAGGCCCATCAAAATCACTCTCTTCTTATATTCCTACTGATACTGTGCCTTCCACCAACAATAAGGGCAGATGAACACACCAATGATACCTGAACTCTAAGCCTGACATGTAGGCCACACTGCCTCTTATCAATACAGTGGGTTTCACGAACATAAGTTGGGAGAGATGTTGGCCATAAAGATAACGTGAGTGATATGACACTGGTTTTGGGTGGCAATGCTTCTGTAGTCCCCCAGATTTTCTCTTCAAGGCACCAAAAAACATGGCATCGCATTTTAATCTTCACACCCTAATCCAGGGGGATAAGGCCATCACTTTGTAGTAACTACTGCATATAATTATTTGTGCCCCACGTCTCTCCCACAGCTTCATTCCCAGAAGGACAAATTCAAAAGTATCACAAATATGCCATGAGGAGGACAGATGGTTTTCTAATCAGCTTCTTTTCCAAAATTCTAACTCACCACTTCTGTAATATATTACTGTCTTACCCTCTTCCCTTCTCCATGCCAGTGGAGATTTTCAAGCCAGGTGTCACTGATGTAGGCTATTTCATTCTTGTTGATCACTGTGTCAACTCTACAACAAATGGCATGTAGGCACACACGTATGGCATCTAAACTCTGAATCTGACGAGTAGCACAACATCCCCTCTTTACAGAAATGACGCTAAAATTTTCCATGTTATGGCATCCAGACATCACCAAAATGGACACACAATTCATTCTCTTATGTCAATGTCAGATCCCTGCATCCATGAATTCACATTCCATCTTCAAATTCACATCACTCTTTCTATCATACATCTCTCACACCTCCATTCCCACAGCCACAGCCCCCATAGTCATCTCCTCGTTTCCTTACTCATTACTCAGCATAGGTGCCAGTGAATTTTAAATCTGTTCTAACAGGATGAAGTGCTACCCTGACTCTTGATATTCTACACTTATGGAAGTATCCTTTAAAATATATATATATATATATATATATATATATATATATATATATATGTAATTGATTTTTTACAGAGAGGAAGGGAGAGGGATAGAGAGCTAGAAACATTGATGAAGAGAAACATCTACCAGCTGCCTCCTGCACCTCCCCCCGCCCCCCTCTGGGGATGTGCCCATAACCAATGTACATGCCCTTTACTGGAATTGAACCTGGGACCTTTCAGTCCGCAGGCCGATACTCTATCCACTGAGCCAAACCGGTTTTGGCTGGAAGTATCCTTGAGTACTGTTAAAAATGCTGTCCTCGATTGTTTTTTCCTTCAACCTCACCTTTAAGAACTACCTCAGATCTCAAATATCCAGAACTCACCTCCACTGGTGCTACACTCGTTATCTCTTCACTAGTGACAGCATTTATCTCCCACTTAACTGTCACCCAAATTCCAGCCTGATAACTCCAGGCCCAGTGAGTCTCACAGTTGACCACTAGTGTTCCTAGGCTAATCCATCAGACTGACCGCAACACCTCAGGCCATTCAAAGGGTCATAATAAAATACTGGTGAATGTTTAAGAAGTAAATAAATATCAGCCTCAGGTTCATCTCTGAATTACTTTTTGGCCTCCAATTCATCTGGCAATGACGCACCTTTCATGGGTTTTAGTCACAGCCAAATGAGAATATCTCCTCCACCATGTAGCTGACTACTTCTGTCCCTATGATATGCTGTGACACCCAACTCCCACAAACAGGAAACCCAGCAGAAAACCCAGTCCTCAGGGTGACACTTGCCTTCCTGAGCTACCATTATCATCCCGAATGATTCCCCATTTTATTTATTTAAAAAAATATTTACATTGATTTAAGAGAGAGAGAGGGAGAGAGAAACATCAATGATAAGAAAGTATCATTGATCAGCTGTCTTCTGCATGCCCTTTCTGGTGATTGAGACTGCAATTTGGCATGTGCCCTTGACTGGAATCATATCCAGGACCCTTCAGTCCACAGGCTGACACTCTTACCATTGAGCAAACCAGCTAGGGAATGATTCCCCATTTTAAAGTGATCTAAAGCCCAGGTTGGTGTGGCTCAGTTGAGCATCAATCCATTCACTGAGAAGTCACTAGCTGAATTGAGCCCTGGTCAGGTCACTTTCCCAGGATTCTTGCTTAATTTCCAGTAAGGGGCCTGCAGGAGACAACCAATCCTTGGATCTTGCTCATTGGGTTTCTCTGTCTCTCTCTCTCTCTGCCTTCCTCTCTAGCTCTAAATTGAGAGAAAAAAAAAAAAAAAAAAAAAAAAAAAAAATATATATATATATATATATATATATATATATTAGAAAAAGGTAATCTATAGCTCCACTCAGGTCCACTATCTTTTTAAGAACTTTTCATTCTGAATTGCTCCTCAGAGTTCCAGACTCTCGTGACCTACCCTCTAAAGTATGTTATACCCTAAAAGCAAAAAACAAAGGAACAAAATCACACACACACACACACACACACACACACACCCCAGAGTTGTTATATCCCCAAAGAGCATCAACCTACCTATAAATTTATCCATCTCAGTTGATGATGCTTCCATTTCTCAACTGCTAAATCCCAAACCTCCCATCATCCCTGACTCTTACCTCTATCTCTCAACCTCAAAATTCGAAATCCAGGTGGCCACACCTAAGACACTAATCCATAATTCAAAGGCTTCCTCCATCCACAAACCTGTACCTGTAAGTGACTGTGCATTTGCAGGAATCTATAGAAAGATAAAGGACTACAGAGAGCTTGGCAAACACCGCCAGGATCCATGGGCTTGGCCACTTAATACCCTTTCCCAGCCTTGGGGTCAGGTGATCTAGAGATGACTGTATTACCTCAGGCCTCAGTGCACACGCTTGCCAAGTTTGTTATCTATAAAAGGACTTCTTTTACCTGTCCCCAATAGGTAACCTCTCTCTTCTAGTTTGTTCTTCCTCTGAGCAGTTTTGGGAAACCTTTAGAATCCTACATGAGACAAAGTCCCTCTTGGTTCACAGCCATTGATGGCTCCCGCTTCCTGAAAATGAAGTTAAAACTGCTCTGGCAAAAGGTCGCCTCATCTCTGTTGCCTTTAGACACAAAACAGGCCCAGGATTCCCGAATCCTCCCAGTTCAGCCACATCGACCCAAACCTTACACAGTGGCATTGCGGCCTGTCACCCTCTTCCAACCCGTCACACTGCACGTCACCCACAAGAGACTCACGGTTCTGGACGCTGCAGCCAGGGCTGCAGGACCTGACAGACGCCTGGACCCAAGGATGAAGGCTAAATAGGTGAGGCTGAGCTGAAGTCTGTAAGCAAAACGGAATCTGGGAGGCACGGAGGCCTTAATTCCGCCTGGTGCAGCTAATCAAGCCTCAGACACAACACTGCACAGCGGGGACATTGCTTCTGGTGCCTATTCCTAATTGGTACTCTGAGCGCCAGAGCCTCTCACTACGTTAACAGAACAAAGAGTTCAAAATGACCACCAGGAAAAAGACACAGGAAGTCACTCCCAAACCAATAATGCGCTGGCCCTGGGCTTTCATTGGCTAAACCCAGCCATCATTAGGCGCATTGCCCTTTGGGTAATGTAGTTTTTCGGACCCCACAGGTGGCATTAGGATGCCACTCACTCACTGATCATTGAAAGTGTTGGTGTTGGTGGGCCTGAGTGGTGTCAGGAAATGATAACTTCAGGTTTTGGGGAATGGTCACAGGTTTCTGGGAAGTGTTGTCTGCAACAGATTTCTTGTTTTGAGATATTATTGCAGATTCTGTGAAGCTTAGAGTCCTCGACGAGTGAAAAGTATTATTTTAATTATTCCTTGAAGACTACAAATTTAAAACTATATATATCATTTTCTTTTCTTTTACTTTTTGAGACAGAGAAAATGAGAGGGAGAGAGAGAAATATGGGTCAGCTGCCTCCTGCACACCACCCACCCAATCACTAGGCATTAAGCCAGGAAACCTGACTTGTAATCAAACTGAGCCATTACAGCTATCAGCATTTTTATTTTTAACATAAAACATCACATTATTAAGAGAAAAAGAAGGCTATGAGAGAATATACTTAATCCTATTCTAATCATTTTACAACAAAATTTGAAAGGATACTAAGGCCAACAAGTTCACATTTTGTACAATGTTGGTTTGTCATCAGTACACATTGTAAAGTTATAGAGCTAGCTGTTACTGAACATTTACCACATGTGCCAGGCCCTGTGTTCAGTGCTTTACATGCATTATTATTTCATTTAATCTTCTCCACAACCTGAGATGGTTTAACCATCTATTTTATAGAGAAGAAACTCAGGCTCAGAGACTCAAGGTAAATTGCCTAATTTAGAGTTAATAAAAGGCTGGGCTAGAAGGCAAACCGTGTGTCTCTACTAACCAAGTTCTGGCTTCTAATGTTAGACTCTGCTGCCTCCTGCAGCTTAGAATAAGGGTGGCGAGTCTGTAACAGTCAGGGTTCACAGTGCCTACCCCTTCGCTCCTTACAGGTGGTGCCCACCCTTAACTGCTACCTTTCATCCAGCCTGATTCAAGTTTTCATCCCTACATGCTTCTCTAAATACACTCGCTCTAGAACCCTGCCCCATGTGCTGTCAGTAAACCCCCATTCCAACACTATCCAAGGCCCCAAACCTCTCTGCTCCATCAAACACACACCACAGTAGCTGACTGTCCCCCAGAGTCCTGGGTCCTTCATCTCACTATGGGAGCAGGGGTCTGCTCTGCCAAGGTCAAACATGATGAGGGAGGACATCAGCCACAATGCATTCCCACAATGTGGTATCATCTTGAGACCCAACAGGCCTTCTGGAAAGCCTTATGTTGAAGACTATTCTTGCCATTGAAAAAAATGCAGCACCATTTTTAAATTTTTTTTTAGAATCCATG